CCGAACGAGGTAAAGTGAGATGATGAGGTACGTCAGGCAAGGAATGATCCAGGAGAAAGGGAGTGAGAGAGAAAGTCTCATCGTACGGCCACAGGGTCGAGTGGTTAAGGACGGTGCCCAGGTGGGTGCGGGGCGCGGGGGGCCCATCGCTATCAAACGGGCGACGCGATGGTTCAGGAAACCGGCAGCGTCAGAACCCCCCCGTCGGGCGCGTGTTTCCTCCAAAGCCTCGAACGAGTCCCCAAGAAGCCGTGACATCGTTAACCCCTGGTCGAACCATGAGCAAATCCCAGATCCGTCCAAGCTTCATCATCTTTTGTCCATCCATCCATTCATCCATCACCCACGTCCGCCGCGCCCATCCCCCCCCCCCTTCCCTGTCGCCCTGCCTCAATCTCAATTATCAAAAACCTTTTTTCTTCCCTTCCTCTTACTTCCCTCCGCTCTCCGCCTTCCGGTCCCTCCTCCTCTCCTCATTCGCTTCTCCAGGGACACTCTACACACCCATCTTCTTCTTCCCTTCCATTCGCTACCTATCGTGTGGTGGCACAAGTGTTTCTTCTTCATCTGAAGGGTACTGAGACCGGAGCAAGACATTTTATTTTCTACCTAGGTTGCCGATTCTCGCTCGGCTCAAAAGGGGGTCCACGTCCATCCGCGCCGCTGCATCAAGCCCGTTTGTTTGCCCGTTTCTCGGATCCCTCAAAATTTACCCCCTTGCTACGGCCAGCATATCAGTCTTTCGCTTCCGATTTGCACCACCCTATTCTCTCGACCAAGGCCGGCGCGCTAAACCTACGCGACGCAAATCGATAACGCCCAACGAACGTCACCACCGACGACAACTTCCTCCTCTCAAGGCCTGTCATGTACTCGGTGTCAGTTCCGACATGACCCAGGTCCGACTCGTAGCACTCGCCCGTCAGCTGATAGTTCCCGCACGTACTTGACGACACTGCTCTCCTCTGGCCGAGCTGCCACACTCTCCCTTTCCCTAGGAATACCGCGATGGAATCTCTACGCCCTGCCTATCCGGCTCCTCGCCGCGTCGCAACTGCCCCGATACCAGCACACATGTCACGCCCGCCACCGTCCACATCGGCCGGTGGCCTAGTCGAGACACTATACAACCACCCAAATGTCAAGATCGTAGCATTCGCTGCTGCATCCAGAGGCCGAGCTCGGAGTCCAGGTCGCGGCCCTTCAGATGAGCCCGGCTCTTTGTCTGCCCACTCGCAGCTTGAGAGGACGATTGCCATTGGTAAGTTGCGCAAGTCCATCAACGTTCTCATGGCCATTGCTGATTGGGGGCCATCCCAATAGGGCCGTTCCGAATATACCGTACAGGATCCGTCGCCTTCTTGAACTGCGGCTCTGCTCTGCAGCCAATGTTACCCAAAAGCCAATGCTGGGCCCTCGCCGAAGACTCGAGCAAATTCGTCCTACAAATTCGCCGACCCAATTACTGGAGGATTGAGATTCCCGTCACCAACGCCGATGAACAGGAACTGGCTGCGGCGCTGAAGGGTGTCTGGGATCAAATATTGCAATTCGAGAAGACGGAATGCCCTTTCAAACGGTCCTTCACGGTCATCCTCCCCGAGAAACCAAAGACACCCGTGAAAAAGCGACCATGGACACCCCCGGTCAAACGAGCCCTACCCGTCCTTTCGACCCCAGCCCACGAAGTCGAGGTATCACCGACGCCAAAAGCTTTGACGCCAAATACTGGCAGGAGAGCTTCGACATCTTCCCTCCGCGGCCGAAGCGAGCAACGCCGGCTCTCCACTATCAGCAATGACTTTCACTCAAGCTCAAGATCCCGTGATCCGAGTGCCGAGATATCGAAAGCGGCAGAGCCTGCGGATGCCGCGCTGACTCCCACGGCCGAGAGACCAGCCGTTGCGACAGAATTGAAGATTCCGAAGCGCGGAGCGGAGGTAACCCGCAATATCGCTAGCAACAATATGGCTCAAGAGGTGACCGATGAGGAAGGCCCTACGTGTGACGTGGTCAAGATGGAAAAGACGGAGCCAAAGGGGAGTCACGAAGAAGCCACATTCGAGGACTCAATCGCCGAGGAAGTGGAGCCCGAAGATGAGGTTTGCCGACAAGATCTGACGATTCCCGCCGAGGAGCCATCAGCAAAGTCACCAGGAGTTCAAGTTACGAATGGTGACATTGGCGGCATTGATGCACAAAGCAACGCTGGCGAAGAGGTGACTGCCGCCGCGGTCTCACCAGCATTGCATGCCGCACCGCTACAAGCACCTGTGACAGTACCTTCGACGGAGATGGTCGATCGCGAAGAGGACACCCAGGGCCCTGAGGTTTCCCAAGTTTCCATCAAAGTCGACGACTCATTGACCCAGCCAAAGGAAAGCAAGACAAACACCCAGGTGGAGACTCTGGTGACTGTTGAGCGGCCAGTGACTGGTCATAGGCTGCCAAACGACATCAAGGAACAGCTCGTCACTGTGGAGGCATTGCCCAAAACATCTCTGTCGGCTGAGGCAAGCACGCCGACGCCCACTAATATTTATGACGTGATCCGGAACTACGAGATCAAGATGGCCGCTGCAGTTCCCGAGTCTACGCCGGCCACTAAACCTGTCGCTGAGCCCGAGGCTGTTTGCGAGAAGTCAGCGATAGAGACGAGGAATACCAGCGGGAATGGGTCCAGCAGCGAATCACAGTCCGCGACAGACGAAGAGACAGTTCTCGAAGGCAGTGGGGTTGTGGGTAGCAGAAGAAAGAAGCTTCGCGGATTCAGAGCCGGCAGGGCTCTGGTTCCCCCACAATTGACCCTTGTTACCTCGCCACCGTCAAAGTCGGCCATGAGATCGACTCCGATTCTGGATGAAGCAACTTCACCAACTGGATCTACAGATTCGTTCCACAGCTCAAAGTCATGGCACTCGCCCGCTCAGTCGCCAATTACGCCTGTCCCAAGATCTCCTGCCTCAGACGTGTCCCCAACGAGGTTCCCATACCCTCACGACAATATTCTTATTCCTAAGAAGCCTTGGCACTACCGCGACATTTCCGATCTGACTGTGACACCGGAGACTCGGCGAACTTGGGATGCGACTTCGTCTCTGACCGACGACAGCTCGTTGGAGAGCGCTGCTACTGCGCCAGACATGGTGTCTGAGGTGGTTGAGCAGCCTGACAAGGTTGCTCTTTCCGAGGACGAAGCAGCAACTACAGCTGTCGTGCGTCGCCCGTACATTCGACACAGATCAACCACCAGCAGCATCTCCGTCGGCCGCAGAGCGCTCTCCCCTCTGCCGACGGCGGCCAACCTTTTTGCGCCCACGAGTACCCAGGCCAGGTACCACCCCCTGAGAAGCCGCCTGGAACTCGTCCGCAGACTTCCCATGGCCATCGTATCCAAGACCTGCGAGGTTCTTCTGGGTCCGCCGAGTCACCTCATTGCGCTGATGCTCCAGGTGGCTGCTAAGATCGCCGCCGGGCAGTGGCGCGGTATGATGTTCGGGTTCGGCGAGGGCGGCGAGACGATCCCCGTGCAGTGGGACTACTCTGACGACGAGTACGATAGCTGGGGCGAGAACGACGATTATTATCTCAGCCAAGTCGAGTCATCGCGTGCGAATAGCGTGATTGGCACCGACGACGGCGAGAATGACGAGGCCACCGACAACGCGAACGGAACGGGTCGCGGGTGGGAGGTTGACTGATGAGACCCCAGGAGGCATCAGTCTGTAATGATTTCATGTATGACTACTGTATGTTTTTAATCGCCAGGAACTGCATCTAGGATGGAAACCTTTTTGGGCGTTTTCTTTTTGGAGAGAGTAAAGGAAGCAAGCTACACGAAACGGGTCTCGGATCCTGGAGAGGTTTCCACGCGTGCAGATATCCCGGCAATGTGTGGCGTCACATCCACGTTGGGTCCTGGTTCTTTCTCTGATGTATAAACACTTTTGGGAACGGTGGAAAGGGATATGAGGGCACTTGAAGGGTTTTTGGCCACTTTTTGATTGGCATTACGAGGCATTTAGTCCAGTACGCTGGCCCCGCCAGGTACTATTCAGGGATGAATTCATTTCACGATTTCAAGAGCTTGTTACAGTGCCCTGCGTGCATTGCTCATGAGTGTAAGCAGCCACACTTGGTCCTCGGAACGTTAACCTATGAGAAGAATGGACTCGAGAGGCTTAGGCAGTCTCGTGGGGTCATCTTTGCAGAGCAATGCGGCACGCAGCGCTCATAGAATCCCCAACGAGCCGGTTAGTCACCGTCGAGCCGACAGCATCGGGTACATCTTCCGGATTATCGACCAGACTGTACCAAAAGACTGGAAAAAGCCAAGAAACCCAATGAAGATCAAACACACGAGATATACGACGGGATGACAGCTGACAAAGGCCTACCTACCGGGCATGCACTTGGCTCTTAGGCTGGGCTGTGTCTTGGGCTGATCCAGGCACTTCGAATCTTTGGAGATTCGAAAAACGCCCCCCACCGTTGTCGAAGAATCAAGAACGAGACTGCGACATTGTTGAAGCTTAGCTCTTTCGTGGGGCGTTCGAGGTGTTGTCAGTCGGGTCATCTTTCTGCACGCGTCGTATTTGAGGGATGGATGCGATTGGTTGATGGCGACGCCTCGTGAGGCTGATCTTGGGTAGGCTTGGCGAGCGTATTCGTCGGGTTACGGTTTCGAGGTATTCAGGATACCGAAGCAGTGGGCAATTGGAAGATCACCGAATGTAGAAGTGCATATTTTTCTGCTGACGGACGAAACGGTCTGTTTGTACAAGTGTGTGTGATGCCTGGTGTTGATAAATGTATAAATGAACGCGGGACGGAAGTCCTCTTCAACAGGTTATATCCTCTGGGACTCTAACACTACAACCCGGTTTCTAAGTGCTATGTAAAGTCTCAACTCCTCGGAATTTACTTACAACTGGTTCTCTATCAACTGAAGAACGAGAAACTCCTAGAAACTGGTCAGGCTGGGGAACAGTGGAACAAACATGGAGGACGGCAAATATGGTAAGAATGAGTAACCCCCCCTGGCAGGCCCCCTTTTACTTACAAGAAATCCAAAAGTCGACGGGAGCTACTACTTCTACGCCCCAAACAAAGCAGCACCCATCTTCTTCGCCGTAGCGTTTGCCGCCTCTGGAACACTGCACTTTTGGCAGAGCTAGTGAGTCTATTCCGATACCGTGTGCCCGGTCCAATCCTAAAAGCAAACGAACCCAACTCCAATCTGAAGGGAAGAGCGGCATTTTCCCTGACTGACAGCTGATGTGGGATCCAGTCACTACAGGTTCTTCAAAGTCACCGCCCTGTTCTCCTTCTGCTGCCTCCTCTTCGCAGCCGGCTTCGCCGTCCGCACCTACGGCGCGTGGCACTACGACGACCTCGACATCTTCATCGCGAGCGTGTGCCTCATCTACGCAGCTCCGTAAGTAACCACCGTTCTTCTCAAATCCACAAATCCCACAATGAGCGAAAAGGAAAACGAAAAGAGGAACCCTCTACTCACCCCCCCTTCTCCCAAGACCCCTCCTCGAACTAGCAAACTACAACATCCTAGGCCGCATCCTCTACTACGCCCCCTACGCCTCCCCCCTCCACCCAGGCCGCGTCCTCACAACCTTCGCCTTCTTCTCCAGCATCGTCGAAGCCCTGAACGGGTGGGGCGCGTCCTACTCCGCAAACCAATCCCTCACCCAGCGCGAGCTAGAAACAGGCCACGCCCTCATCAAGACAAGCCTGCTCCTCCAAATCTTCGTCCTCGCCTCCTTCACAGCCCTCGCCGTCGTCTTCCGCCGGCGGTGCGTCGCCGCCGGCGTAGCGTCCGCACGCGGCGTAAAGGGCCCGATGGTGACGCTCTACGTCAGCGTCGTGCTCGTCTCCGCGAGGACGTTGTTCCGCGTCGCAGAATACTTCAGCCTCGCTCGGGTCCGGTTCGACGCGCAGACGAAGGAGGGCGACGTGCCCCCCGCGATACGCTACGAGTGGTTATTTTACGTCTTCGAGGCGAGCCTGATGCTGGCCAACGTCTGCATGTTTAATGTCAGGCATCCGAGGCGGTATTTGCCGGAGCGGTATACGGTGTACCTTGCCCCGGACGGGGTCACCGAGGTGGAAGGGCCGGGTTGGAAGGATCCGAGGGCGTTTTGGGTGACTGTTGTTGATCCGTTTGATGTGAGGGGGTTGGTGAAGGGGAGGGATCGCGGGATGGAGAGGTTTTGGGAGAGGGGTGATGGTGGGAGGCATGGAGGGATCGAGGGGGGTAGAGAGGGGGATCAGGGGAAGGACGGTGTTTGATGAGTTTTGTAAGTGTGGTGAGCGAGGGTCACCGTGATTGTTTGGTGTTGTGTTCGGCTTGCATTTTCCTGTTTCCATTTCTTGCTTTCCTTTTGTTAAGTGTGATCAAGCCTGTAATTGTAGTCGGCCGGTCGTGGTTGAATATATCGAGACATTTCTGTCAACGTTCGTCTCCAAGTAGTCTGGCATGGCATCTAAGAAAGCAGAATCGAAAATGAGAATGTTTCACCTTAGTGTGAAGCATTCTCGACGATACAGATCAAGCTTTTTGTTCATACACCCAAAGACCGTTTCGTGGGTAACGCCCCATGGCAAGTAATGGATCGGGCCCAACAATATAACCATTTCATCTTACACGCGTTAGTTGGTGCAAGGTAAACGACTGGTCATCACTTACTTCATGTTTTGAGGTCGATACGACGCAGCAAAACTGAACCATCGTCAGCGCCTTGAACAGGCGGGTAGAAAGCATCATATCAGTAATTAGACTGAGAATTGGGGCAATGTTCTTCATACTGAAGTAGGGAGCTCACTTTCGGTAATCAAATCATCACGTCCACGACAGACAAACACAAGTCTTCATACAAACAAAATCCATGGGGTATGTCTCATTCAGCTACATTCCGTTTCATATAAAATGGCTAACACCAAGGCCGATGGCCAACGATTAGCATCTCTCACCCGTCTCTCACCTGCCTCAATCACCCACCACCCATGGTATCAAGCGGGTTCATCCCGACAAGTACTTCATACGTAGAAGGGAAGGTGTGAAAGAATACAGACAAAAGACGAGGAAGGCTTTCAACCATTCCGGCCTTTCATAAATGCTTGATCGCTTCTTTTCTAAGTCCATTCCGCTCCGCAAAAATCATCCTTAGCCAGCACCTCCTATATAGAAAGATCTCAGACCAGATAACCGACCACCGGGGTACAGGAAGGGCTGCTTTTCTTTTGCTATCCTTTCCCACCTCCAAGAGGTAGAAACTTATGATGCCAATCTACTCAAAATGATGTAGGTGTGGTATCGCAAGCTGGTCAGTTCCGGCAGTAACAGCGAGTAACTAATCATCACCCGAATAAAATAGATTTGCGTTCTGACCCCCGAGCCATGACGCCTCGTGTACCTTACGTAGAGAAAATGTCAAAGTTCCTAGAAATGTCCAAGAAAAAATCGCCGGGGTGATATCAACCATCTTTGTTGGTGCCGCATCTGGGCACTAGGTATTACCAGGCCATCGCCACAAGACTTTGGGAAACGAAAGTATAATGGTATCTCGACAGAAAGGGCGTGCGCTTGGACCGATAATATATGAGTTGCGCGTAAGATAGATAGATGGATGAGTGACCATTGTCGCTCTCTCGTTATTCTCGTATGGATGTCATTCCGCCACCACTACCGCCTTCGAGAAGAGGCTGACTCGGTGGAGGCATGCCTTGGTGACTTTTGGAGACGGAAACAGACGTGGCAGGTGTGCCATTCCCTGAACTGTCGCTAGGTCTTGCTGGCGTGCTGCTGCTGGCCTTGACTTCGTTTTGGAGCTGAGACGAGTGTATGGGCGAGTTCGACTTCTTACTGAGTGCGTCTGCGTTGGTGTTTGCGCCTCCTCGAGACGAATTGCGTGGTGAAACCCGTCCAACCTAATCCTGATTAATATCGTCGTCCTCCACTCGGCTTACTACAGAGGGCTCGGCGCTTCTCACCTGCTTTGCCCAGCGTAAACCGCAGCTGTTGCAGAGGTCTCTTTGACCACTAGGACCTCGTCGCCACTCGGGCGTATTGCGCGTATGGCAGTTGGCGCAGTCGCGGACGACATTGCCTACTCCCTTTCTCCTCTTTCTCTTCTTCTTATTCGATAATAGGCCACCCAGCTCTTCAGCAAGGATCCGATTCACCTTCTCCATCTGGCGGAGCTCGAATTGCCAGCTGGAGCACTTTGTCGTTCGCAACTCGTCGAAAATGTTGTCGTCCGAGGCTAGAGCAGCATCCTGCGAGCCGTGCATCGCTTGCCCGCCCGGTAGTGACATCGGCCCGGCCTTTGCAAGCTCGGTGCTCTGTGTTGCGAGTTGCACGTTCTGGTTGACCTGAGAGGTTGATTTGACGCTTCCTGGGGGTGTAGCCGCCGGTGCGATGCTCCTCGACGATGCTTTGAGAAGTTTGGTCTGCGCCAATAAGAACGTGGGCTTCTGACCATCTGAGGCATCTCCAGGATACAAAATGGTTTGTGCCTGAAGTACCTGTCCTCTCCTATTGTGAACCTCATGTTTGCATGTCACTATTTTGCCTCTCCTTGCCTTTTCGATCGCTCGCCCAAATTCGGCACGACTCTCTCTGCGCATGAGCTCCTGCATGCTGGTGCCTATCAGGGTGTCTGGCTGCAAGTCGAGCAAAGACCGAATGTTAGAAGACACGAAGAGAAACATGCCGGATACCGAAATCTTGGTCCATAATTCGCTGTCGCCAATGCCTCCGTGCGCTTCGAGGTCTCGTCGGCTCAATGCGAAGACGGGTCGTTTTCTCCCTACCAGAATAATACATTTTCTACCTTTTCCGTGCTCGAAGAATAATGAGCCGTGGCTTTCGAACCACGTGTAGCCACTTTGTTTCCGCCTTATGCGGAAGACAATGTTGACCGAATTGCCCGCCGTCGCGTCTTTGAGTTCACGGGTAACGGGCACAATGTCGGACGGGTGACATACGGTCGAAAGGGAATTGCCCACCAGCTCTGTCGCGTCGTACTCCAAGACCCTCTTGCAAGAAGGTGATAGGTAGAGGAACAGCCCTTTAAGTGAAAGAACGTGGACAACGTCGTCGGTGTTTTCGAGAAGCATCTTATCCCAAGACTGCTTGTGCCAGTCAGACACCACACCCTTGGGGTTGAATTGCTGTAGCAGGGTAGACACGTCGTCGACACCCAGCGTCTGTCCATTTTCGGCCTCGACAGTGTTTTGATTCGGGGGTGTCCAAATGTACTGGCCAATGTCGCTATGTTTGTAGTTGACCTTGACACCGCCTGCGTCCTGGCCCTGAGAGATGGCATCTGGGCATTCGACGAGATCGATTTGAAAGCCAACGAAGAACCGCACCTCGTTGGGGTCGTCCCACGGGATCGGGATCATTGTCAAAAGATTCAGGAAAGGCTTGCCGCCCTTGCGATAGTTGATCAAACTTTGCTGAACCTCGCGGCCTTCTGCAATCTTCTTTTTGAGATTGTAGACTGACGCATCGTCCACGAATTCACGCTTCGAGCCAGCTTCGACCTTGGCATCGGGAGCTTGCAGGAATCGACAATTTTGGCCGACAATTTCATGGCGGCTGTAACCCGTCAAGTTCTGGAAGTTATCGGAAACGTAGATAATCGGGCAGTCATTCAGTGAGACGTCACAGACCACAAATGCGCAGGACATGTCAACGGCGCCAAGGTGAATCTCGGGGTCCTTTCTTGTAGCGACGTACCATAACGCCCGCATCATATCGAAGCCGCTCTTTGAGTAGACGTTCTTCTCTTTGGACTCTGCACGAGGTGTTTGAGGTCCCATGGCGGGAGTGGTCTCTGCGGTTGCGGCAGGTGCAGCAGAGGCTGCTGTCTGGCTCGTTGCCATGGATGATGATTGGTTATTGGGGGACTGCGAAGAAGTCTGACCAGAGTTGGTTGACACCTCGCGGGATAATGTTGACGGCGTTGTCTGAGGACCGCTTGAAACAGAGCCGAATTTGGGCACTTGGGCAATTGGTCTGTTCGAGTTGTCTGCCGGCGTTCGGTATTGCTGGCCCATACTCAAAGCCTCGTTGTCGGCGTTGTCGATATCTAGTGGCGTGTCGAGGGCAGACTGTGGTGCTGTTCCGGGTGTTTCATCGGCTCCCAGATCCATGGTCATGTCGTTGGCGGTCGTGTTGAGAGGGCTCGGAAAAGCGTTGGCCATGGATGTCTGGCCGTACATATTCATACTTGACGTAGTCGGCATACCCATGTTGGCGTACGCCGGAGGCATCATTGAACTCATCATATCGGGAGAAAAGGTGGTGAATGCATTTGTCGGCGACATCTGCAGTCCGTCTTGGGCAGCGTACGCCTCCATGCCTCCAGGTATGGAAATATTGCCGGGAACACTGTTGCCCATCCCTCCGTTATTCGTCATGCCGCCGTCCATGCCGCCATTCATGCCGTTGCCCATTTGGCCGGCCATATTAGAGAATTCGCCGTTCATGGTCGGGTTTTGGAAGGGATAGTTGAGCATCTGGTTGTCATCAGCGCCGAACTCCATCATGGACATCCTCCTGTCGGCGCCGGCGTTTTGGTTGTTTTGGTTTGAGGGCATGTATGGTTGGTGTATGCTGCGGCGCCGTTGCAGTTCGTGGTTGTTACTGTTGATAATGTCGTCGAGCGAGTCGCCGTTGCCACCCATCATTGACATGCCATGACCTTGGTTCATTTGGTGGTAGCCGTGGCCGCCTCCTTGGCCTTGGCTCTGCATCTGGCGTTGCTGAGACTGTTGCGACATCTGTCGCTGCAGCTCTTGGGGAGTGAGCTGCGGGTAGAAGGCCTCCATGGCGATCGCATCGGCGTCCCAAGGACCTTGTCGTTGATGGTGGACCAGTCGTCGTGTCGTCTCGTATCGGTCGATAGTGGTGGTGGGGTGCAAGAAGTCGTCGAGTGTTGTCGAGTCGCAACCAGTGGGTGGTTCGTTCAGCCGTCCAACTTGTACTTTTCTCTCCCGAGGCGCCGGCTTAAATAGTGCCACCGGTGCATACGGTCGGGGGTGCGATATCGCGTCACAATCCTCGTCCTCCTGTCATGGACCAGTACACGTATTGTAGGAGTTGTGAGGGGGAGGCCGTCGTGTGCTGCGGGAAAAGCAGGTTAGGGTGCCGGCAATTGAACGTCGGCCAGATGAGTATCGGTGGCCGGGTTTTCGGGGTTGGTGAAGAGCGGGATAATGGCGTCGAGCGCGGTGGTCACTTGGTTTTGGCGAGGCAGAACTGCGGTATGCTGCGCGTTGGC